GTTGTTGTTGTTGTTGTTGTTGTTGTTGACCATCAAATTGAGTCACTATAATGGTAAAAATCTATAATTTTCTATTCTAAAGGAAAATTCAATGCCATAGTTATTGTTAAATGAGAAGTTGCTCAAAACAACCCAAAGAGGGTTGGGGAAAGTGTCATTTAAGATCCCTTCATATTTCAAGGTTGTAATTGTCAAGGGCATTTCAACAAATCATATCTCCAGAAGCTGCTTAGATCAGAAGACATTGATTCTGATCTTTGTTCAATACTGACAAGTTTAAATAAAATCATCACCTACAGAACTCTATCTGCCTTTCTTAGTTCACTGGGAGTATATGAATTCAAGTGAGATCACATATGAGAAAGCATTTAAAACCCTAGATGTTAAAAACTGGGAGTTGTATTCTGTATAATTTCATATTTTCCTGATTTCACATGTACTTGTTTTCAATCCCAACATTTTCCAACTGTACCCAGGGTATGACTACCAAAGCTCCAAAATTTTCTCTTGCAGAAACTATTCCTTTAAAAGCTCCAAGTTTTATCTTGCAGTAACTATTCCTTTCTTTTATTATTTTTTTTTCTATTTTCTCCTTCATCATTCTTATCTTCAAAAACTCTTTTAGGGTACTATTTCAGTTCTACTCTATTTTTTAGGTAGAAAATCTTAGTCTTCCTTTTTGTCTTCTATCTCATTTATATTATTTCTTCATATTCCATATTCCTTTTATATTTTACATTTTCAGTCACTAAGTCTCATTTTTGTATATTTGCTTCACATTTCCAAGCCAATTTTATATGAACATTTGACCATATCCCAATATGTTCATATTTATTTATAAATGATATATTTGGCCTACCTATTTAATAGAAATAATATTTCCAAATAGAACTTCTAAAAAAATGAGAAAAAGAGAAATTATGAAAGAATGAATCAAACTTTGTTTTCAAATGCCAGGTTAATTATTTTAACTTATTATAATTAACAAGAGTCAGTTCTGCCTTTTCTTGTTTTCTTGTGCTTACATTATTAACATTATCTTCAATTCACAAATTCTCTGAAGGAAGCTTTTTAAGTTACTGTTCATTTTGTGAGGGCTAGCTAAAATGAAATAATATAATCACTGTTGTTGTTGTTGTTGTTGAGTTCCGTTGAGTCAATTCTGACCCATAGCAACCCTGTATAGAGTTTCCAAGGAGTGACTGGTGAGCTTGAACCACTCACCTTGAGAGTCAAATGACTGCAGTCCAGCACATTAACCTACAGCGCCACAGCAGGACTCCAAACACAATCCCTAGATCTACTTAATTAGACCCATTTAAACTTCAATGTTTCAGAATATTTTTTTTAATTGAATGGATAAATAAGGATACCTCAGGATTCCTGTTCTATTGTGCATGTAATGAAAGCTTGTAGTCTGTGGGTTGAATAAGGATATCAGCGTGTCTTATTATATTACACATAAGAAAAGGATTTTTTGTTTTGTTTTGTTTTTTTAATTGTGGTTTGGGTGAAAGCTTACAGAGCCTCTTAGTTTTTCATTCAGCAATTCATATAGATTTTGTTTCCTGACATTAGTTGTAATTCTAGTCAATGTAACAGTACTCTTCCTACTTCCTGCCTTGGACACTGCTTCCATTCTCTTCTGTCACTGAACTTTGCTTTTGAGCAAATGCTGCCCTTTAGATTGTCTATAGTTGATTGTTTCAAGGAATATGTTTCTCATAGGTATTAATGCTTACTTTATGTTGATATGTTGTTGCTAAGTGCATTCAAGTCAATTCCAACTTAGAGTGATCCTATGTACAACAGAGAGAAACACTGTTCAGTCTTGCATTTTTATCCTTACATTTGAACACAGTACTGCTGCAACTGTGTCAATTCATCTCCTTTAAGGTCTTCTTTTCTGCTGACTCTCCACTTTACCACACATGATGTCCTCTTCCAGGGACAGGTCACTCCTAATAACATGTCTGAAGCATAAGAGATGAAAGTTTGCCATCTTGGATTCCAAGAAGCATCCTGGCAATACTTTTTACAAGATGTGTTTGTTTCTGTGTCAACCCATGTTGCTTTTAATATTCTCTCCAACACCATAATCCAAATGTGTCCATTTTTCTACAGTCTTCCTTATTGACTGTCCAACTTTTACATGTATTTAAAATATCATGGCTTAGGTTAGGCACACCTTTGTCCTCAAACTGATATTTTTGCTCTTGTAAACTTAAAAAGGTCTTTTGCAGAAGATTTGCTTAATGTGATATGTCCTTTGATTTCCTGACTGCTTCTTTAATGAATTTTTATTGTAAATCCAAGAACAATGAAGTTTTGGACAAGTACAATCAAAAAATGGTATTTATTGGTCCAATTGTAATCATTTTTGTTTTCTTTACACGGATGTGCAATCCATACTAAAAGCTGTTGTCCTTGATCTTCATCAGTAAATCAGTCCCCTTTGCTTCCAGCAAGCAAGATATTATCATCTGTATATCACAGTTTGTTGTCTTCCTCCAGTCCTGATGTCATAGCCTTCTTCATATAATCCAGCTTCTCAGATACATATTGAATAAGCATGTTAAAAGAGTACAAGTCTGGCACACACTTTTCCTTATTTTAAAACCATAAGAGTATCCCCCTTGTTCTGTTCTAACAACTGCCTCTTGGTCTATGCATGAGTTCCTCATAAGCACAATTAGCTGATTTGAAATACACATTCTTTGCAATGTTATCCATAGTTTGTTATGATTCATGCAGTTGAAGCCCTTTGCATAATCAGTAAAACACAAGTAAAAGTCTTTCTGGTATTTTCTGCTTTCCGCCAAGATCCATCTGACATCAGCAATGGTATCCCTCATTCTACATCATCTTCTGAATCCAGTTTGCATTTCTGACAGTTCTCTGTCTATGTACTTTTGCACACTTTATAGATTTTCTTTTATTTCTTCAATTTATAACCTGTCTTTTGTTTGACTTAGGGTTGATCTGGGGATGGGTTCAGTTACAAGTT